TCGAACTGCCATTATTTTTTGTTCTGAACTGGTAAATAATAATATGATTTTATATTAGAGTTGCTTCATTATTTACCATGCCCAATTTGATATTCGATATTTGAAATTCACCTGAAAGGATATTCCTGGATGCGTATATAGCTATCACTGACTGCATACATGCCATTCTTCATTGCGGCAGCTAATATTGCACCCTCTGTGGGTTGTCCCAAAAGCACATCCTCCTTCAGTATAGCATTATTGCAAACACAACCTGCCTGTAATTACAGGTATGCATTAATTATTCCGTTTTATTTAGGGTTATACTTAAAAAAATATCAATAATGTGATGATCTGATATAATATACCTCAAGTAATTCATGAATTGCTTGTCGTCCTTTTTCCATATTATCACATTTACGCAACACAATTTCCCCATTGTCATTATAACCAGCTCCAGTAACATCAGCAATATGGCCATCAGCAGTAAAAATAATAGTCACAGTCATTTCATTCTTCGTTATGGTTCCTGAAAAAAGCAATGTTTCATCAGTAATTCATTCCAATAAAAGTAAATTTATTGAAGTTATATTTACCAGTTTTGTCAGAGCATATAACATTGACACAGCCAAGTGTTTCCACAGTTGGCAACTTTTTCACTATAGCTTTCCTTTTAGCCATTCGCATAACTCCTAAAGCTAAAGTTACAGTTACAACTATAGGTAAACCTACAAGGGTATAAAATGAAAATATACAGTAATATTATATAATTTTTGGCATAAAAAAATTATAGAGGTTCAAGATGCAAACTTTTAAGAATTCAAGATTTTTAAAATATTGCATCTTCACATTATTCAAACCTTCAGGAATAGCAGCTACTGCCAAACTCACGCCGATGGTAAACATTTCAACTATTGGTTTTCCTTGAATCCATCCAAGGAGCATTATTACACCAATAATGCAAAATGAATAGAATGACAACTGAGCGCCCAAACTATCCATGCTTTTTTGAAGAGGTGTTTTTGGAGCTTCTTCAGCTTGCATCATTCTGAAAACTTCTCCAAATTCACTTTTCTCTCCGGTGCTAACTACAATACCCTAAAATAAAAATTAAGATAATAATACATATTAGTGTTTTTAATACATATCAAAATTTTCAATACATTAACGCATACTGATTACTTCATCTAATGTAAAAAAAATTCAAGGTACCAAAGAATTAATTTAAATGTTTTGACTTACTTTTCCATTTCCACAGCGCACAAGAGTACCCATAAAAGCAATATTTTTCATGCTGGTATGACCATTTGTTTTTATGATTGGTTCTGTAACCTTATTTGATGGCTCAGTTTCTCCTAAAAATTAAATATTATCATTTAAATTAGCAAATATATGATTATGTAAATAATTGCTTTAAGCAAAATAATGTTCTATTATGAAAATGATATTTTGTTATATATACCTGTAAAACTTGATTCATCTATGCATAAATCTATTGCATCAAACAACCTGACATCAGCTGGTACTCGATCTCCTACATTGAGATGAATTATATCTCCTGGAACTAATTTACTCGCCAAAAATGTATCTAATCGTCCCTCTCTTAAACTAGAGAAATAAAAATATTACTAAAACATGTCATTCTAATAAATGTAAGATTTCGAAGAATTGTAATGTGCAAATACAATAGGTTGTAACAAATTATAGTAAAACATTATTACCAGTGGCATGTAGGCGGCACAAGTTTTGTTAACTCTTGCAAAGATTTTTCAGATCGATATTCCTGCACAAAGGCAACTGTAACAACAATGATGATGGCAACAGTGATGCTAACAGCATCATCAAATTGTTTCATGCAAATACTGACAAATGCAGACCCTGAAATCAAAATGCACAATGCTTAAGTAATAATATTAAATACTCAATTTTATGATATAATTATATGTAAAAATTCTTATAAAAGCACTCAACAAATTCAGTAATTATAAATTATAATAGTTTAAACATTTATATAGTAGTTAAATTTTTTAACATATTTTAATGTAGTATTAAATAGATTAAATTATACATGTTGAGTGATTTTTTTAATGAGCAAAAGCTTATGAAGTGTAATCAAATAATTTTTGGCAGTATCAATCAATCAAAATTGTTTAGGGTAAAATAAAAAAGTTTTAATTGATTTAAACTGATTAGATTATTGAATCTAAGAATTGAAACCGAGCATTCAAAAATGCTGATAGAATCAGCATATTTTAATTGAGTGAACTTACATTAGCATTTGCATATTTTAATCTACAACAAATTTCATAATTAACATTAGATATATAACGCAATAATACCTAAGAGTAACATGATTAAGGGATTTCTGAATTGTTCTATATACTTCTTCCATGGTGGTTCTTCATCTTTAACAGTGAGTTCATTTAATCCAATTAACTGAGACCTCAGATCAGCTTCACTCCATTGTAGACCATTTCTAACGTCAACCCTCAGTCTAGCAGCTACCTCGGAACAGCTTAATTGGGATGATTCGCTTGTGCTAAGCCACATTTCTGTATTAGGATCCTTTAAAGGAATAATTCACATTAAAAACAAATCCATATCAACTTTTAATTTGTACTTACTGAATCACTTAAGTTCTCAGAAGATAAGTCTTTTTTATTTTTTGAAAATTTATCATACTTTGAAGTCTGATTAATTCTCATTTTTAATAAGACCTGTGGCTAAACTAATCTAATGATTTTTTATCTATACAGGGCACGTCATTGAATAACATTCGAATGTATCAAATTTTATGGAATGTAAGTCTTAATTAGGGTTAGAAATTTAGTAAACTGGCTTCTTCATAGCTAACATGTTAATTGATTTATCGTGACGTGATAAAAACATAATTTTTTGACAATGGCTTATTTACGTTGACGTTTCGCCGAATGGTGCTAAGTGAGCAAATGATCACGCATTGCTTCTACTTCACTTTTTTGTAGGGAGTTTTGATTTTACACTACGTCATAAGGTTTTTAGTATGTTGTTACGACTGGTTACGATTTTCAGATCAATAAACAACAATAAACATAGTAAAAATTTACTATTTTTAAAAACAATTCTTATTTAACATCGAAAAGCAATTTGGCCATTAATCAATGAACCATTGATGAATGATATGTGAAAAATTTAAATTTCAATTTAGTGTTAATTTAATTACCTAGAACTACACCACTACAAACCAAAACTTTTATCTTTTGTTTGGACCTGTCAATAGTAATCTATCACAAGAATTATTACAATATGTAGATTTAATAAACTTGAATATAATAATTAGAATAACAATACCAGGTTTTTATGAAAATAAGCATTATTACACATTTTACTGTAGATTGTATTGTTAACATGTGCAATATTTTGAAAATATGCCCTGAGGTCTCAGAACTTTGTAGTGTCATTACAGAATTGAAATGTACTGAAAAAGATTGCAATGCTATATTAAAATCATCATCCAACTTAAAAATGCATTATGTGAAGCATCATCTGAAATCAACACTCCCTAAGCAAAACCTTCCAGAAGGGACAATTATGCATTATTATTGTCCAGAAAAGTCTTGCATCTACAATGTATCAGCAACTAAGCATTTCACTCATAAACGCTTCTTAAAACAGCATTACTTGAAGGTTCATGCTGAAAAATTATTTAAATGTACTACTTGTACAAAAGCATTTGCAACACATTCACAGCAAATTAGTCATGCCAAGGTTTGTGGAAAGATATTCAAATGTACAGATTGCGATTGGAAATATAGTTCAAATGAGGCATTATTAACTCATTACCGAAGAAAGCATCACAGTAAATCTGCAGTAAATTCAAATGAAGTTATTACTGCAGACAATGTAACTAAGCCTGTTACAAATAACATAATAATATTGAATATAATACCTCCTTCACATTTGCATCTAAAAGATAAAGAAATACAAACAGAATTAATAGATGATTTGAAAACAACGAATTCAAAAATAAGAAAAAGAAACACCCAACATACACAGACTTCCTCATATAAAAGAAAGAAGATTCGAAATAATGTTGAAACTCAAACAGTTAAAAATACAATATTAGAAAAGGCTATGTATAATGCAAATCTTTATGTTGTTAAATCCAATGTCCAAACACAGAGCGAACATGAGTTAGATGTAAATAATGAAAGAAATGATAAACCAGAAACTCATAACTCTTTTTCTAATTTAATTCAGGAAAATGATATGGATATAAAGTATTTTGAATTGGATGATAACAAAGAAAGCGAATCCGAAAATGTTTTGAAAGATAACTTACTTTCAGAAACTATAATAAACAATCATTCTCACACTCTATGTAGCATTGAGACTCAGACTGATCAATTTGATTTAACTTTAAATGATAACATGGACTCTTCTTTCACTCAAACTGGAGACCTAACATTTGATCAATTATTATATTCAAATACATACACTCAAACATGTGATGATTTTCTACTTTCTGAACTTGGCTTCAATAATTCTCACACTCAAACCTGTTGGCAAGGTTATGAAGATTCAGTGTCAACAGAGACTCAAACAAACTTTACAGATCATTTGCTGGGAGACCGTTCTACACAGACAAATAGTGTATTGTCAGACAATTTGTTAGAGCCAGCAGATTACACTCAGACTTTTGTAAATACCAATCACGGATCCTAGCATTCACTTGAGCAAAGTATTCTTGGTTTTGCTTCAGAACATGATCTATCAGAGGTTGATTTATTCTTATTTAAAAGTTGAAATGTTATTAAGTCAAGAAAAGACATATATATATATATAGTAAAAATTTTATATATTTTATCAAAATAAATATTTACTGTTTTACTATTTTGCTAATTTATACATGTAATATTTAAACATAATATTTAAAAATAATGTTTAAAATCATTGTGAATAAATTATGGTATTTTTAAAATCAATGTCACTTTTGAATTATTAACTTGAAATTACACATGCATATATTAATTTGTTAAATTGGTTAAATTCCATTTGTTGTCAGTCTCAGTGGATCATTTCCGCTTTTAAATGGAAATTACTGTTTTAAGCATTTTGTAACTTTTGCTGTTGATATCAATCCCATAAATTTTCACAACAATACATTAATAGGAAAATTTCTATATATACATACATATAGAAAATAATACATAAAACATATATACAATTCAATACATACATAAAAAAAATTAATTGATGTATAATGAATTGATTTATATAGCATATACAAAAATGTATAAAGAAGAAAATGAACCCCTCTATAAAAAATCAGAATGAGCTTGTCTCACAGGGGATACCGCCGAGCTCTACTATATTTATATTGTTTATACATGTATATAAAATGTAGCATATAAAACTAGTAATTATTTATTTTAATACCAAAGACAATTTGAATGATCAAATTTATTCACTACACATTATAGTGCAGGACCGGCATCTTCATCTTCATTTTCGCAAAAATTGTCATCAGAAGGTTCAAATATTCGGTTAGAGCTTTCTAAAGAACTAGCAAGAGTCCTTAAATTATCAACACCCGTTAATAGTTGCCTATAAAAAGAAATAGACGAATATTTAGAAATGAAGAAAATAGTTGTTTTTAATTGCTTATAAAATAGTAACTAAAATATGCTTATTACTAATTTTTATTTGAAGTGGAAATGTAACTATTAAAGATGTTCTAAAGAATTTAATTAATTTACCTCAGTGATGACTCTGCAGTACTAGCTGCAGTTCGCAACTCATTTGATAATCTCATCATGCTATTGGAATCATTTGCAGCTGGACCATAGCGCAGTGATGTATTTTCATTTCGAAGAACCATCATCTCTGACTAATATTGAAATAGCTGTTATTGCAATATCAAAATTAAAATTAAAGTAACGTTAGAAAATAATCACCGTCATTTGTGAAATCTGTTTCTTAAGCTTTGCAACTGTACTTTCAGCATCTATTGCCCTTTTCTTAAAAACAAATTGAAATTATTTTTTATATTACATTACTACATTAATGTGATGTTAAGATAACTCACATTGCTCCGTGCCATATTTTTTTCAACTGTTTCCAAAGCTGTAGCTAATTTTGTTGTATATTGTCCTTCATTTTTTTGGCTAATACTTAACTCAGATTGTAAACGAGATATTTGGCCGGACTGTTCTGAAATCTGTCTTCTACAGTGATCTAACTCTCTTCGCAACCTAAATATAAATAAATTTAAACATAAATATGCTAAATATAAATATATATAAGACATGTCCATACATACAATTTACTATTATAAAACTAATAAATGTTTTTTTTAATATATTTAAAATTATGCTATGTCACATTATACATTTGTATAAATGTAATTGCACATTTCCAAGCATTTTTTTATGTTTTATTCGATCATACAGAAAATAACTATCAAGAACTTATCCAGGCTTATTACCTACCAACTATAAAACATTTCTGAAATTAAGTTTAGATGAAACTTATAATATTAGAATTTCATACTTATTTTAACTCACCTATTATTTTCCAATGATAATCTACTAATAGTTTCACTAATATCCTCACTATCGCTTTCTTCCATGCCCCCTGCTTGTCCTTTTGGTGATGTTTGAACCAAATCAGCAAGTCTATCTGAGTGTATTGCTCCATCTGACAAGAAATCAGGAAGTATGTGAGGAACTTCTTGCATCCCATTATAATCCTGGTGCATAATCACATCCTTGACATTTCCTGTTAAATCTAAGGATATAGCTGCTGGCAAATCTAATGGATTAGCTGCATTTATCGGTGGACTATCATTTATTGGTAAATCTAAAGGTGCTCTTAATGGCCCTCTATTTTCTTCTTTATTAATTGTTGAGGTCACATCTTTAGGTTTCTTTAAATTCTTTTTATTATAATCTTTGTCAAATGGAGAAAATACTGATTTTATCTCTCTTTCCACATTTTCTGTAGATAAAGGATTATCAAAACCAGAATACCATTGCTCAAGGATTATATGATCTTGAACAAAGTCAGGCAATGCAGATGAGAACTCACTTGAAGCAATCCTTGCTCCTGAGTGATTAGCTTTAACAGAATCGTGTGGTGAATATTCTACTGGCATATAATTTGTATCACGGTCAGAATATGATCTGAATAAATTCTTCAAATGATTATCAACATTGGATAGTGCAATATTTTCAACTGAATTTGTTTTTCCAAGAGCTTTAAAATATTGTGGGCAACAATGCTCACAACGTTTTTGATAAGCCGCGTGATTGCATTTCTCTGTTTTTAAAACATCAGTGGCTAATCCTGTGTTTGTAAAAATTTTAGGTTTTGCACCTGTGTGACTTGCAGGGCCAATAGAATAGGTGCTAGCAGAGGATGTACTTGCGCAGTTACTAGCAGATGGAGTTTCACGTTTCAAGAAATGTTTGAATGAAAATGGGTTTTCCTCACGTCGCTGATTTTCAAATGGGCCTAGACAAAACAAATTAGAAGATAAGAGAGAAGCAGACTATATTTTATAAATAAACCAATAAGATTGAGTCAATTGGAACTCAGAAATATAATATGCAATAGAACTAAGTATGTACATAGGGTTGCATTGTAAGGCATGCAGGTATCAATATTATCTTGCAAAGCATAGTAAAAAGATTTTCTGACATTTTCTACCTACATATAGTAACATGTATTTGGCTAACGTTTTAAAGAGAATTCAAAAAAAAATTCAAGAATTCAAACCTGTTATATTGAGCACAGCCTTTTCAGTTTCATTATCATTTTTGTTTGTGTCTAGTGAAGTAGCTGATGTAGAAGCAAGATGTTGCTCAACATCTGAGATTGATAATTGATCATCATCTGAGAGAGCCTTGTCGTTCTTGTTAATTGTGTGATCGGCCCTTTCTGCCATAATCATTCTTGACAGAAATCGTCACATTTAATATCAACGCTATATGCGTTCGACACAGGATTTACGTCCCATATTACATTAAAATTTATAATTATTGATTTAAAACCTACCATAAAACATAACAATAAGTAAACACAATTTAATTAAAATGGGTTTCTACATCATTCAAAAATCAAATGTTCAATGGACATTTGCAAGACATGTCAAACATGCATTGTGCAAATGCATATAGTGAGATAGTTCGAAACATATTTACTCAAAATGTTTGGGGCGGTTACAATTTCGATATGAAATATTACAAAGTGCTTTTATTACGAACATAAACGTTGGTTTATGGTTTTAAGGCTCATGAATAAAATGATTCATTAAGGCTAAACATGTGTATGCATTTTTTTTTCAAATACATATTAATAATAATGTAATTGAAAATTATGACATTATTTCAAAACTCGACTTCAATAGCTTGAATACTCCCACAAAAATATAATAAAAAATCCAATATATAATACAAATAAAACAAAGTTTTTATACTTTTTCATAAAAACATCGTGAAATATTATATGGCAGTATAAATATAAAATATGAGTAAATCGATTACCAGCTTACATACATATCTTGGACAGTTTTGTTAATGTTCATTATTTTCATGTTACCTAATCTTACAAATGAAGATATTAACCTTTTTGAATTTTTCAAGTTTTCAATTTGTTAAAGTAGTGTTTATAATTAATTAATAATCTAATTCTTAATACTTACTGCAATGGCCAGCTGCATTCTGAAAAAAAATCGGATTTTAACGTTTTCGCTTCAACTTTTGAGTGCACGATGTTATAAACCGGCCACTACAGTAGCCAGATTTAACCTCAATCTTAGTGGTAATCTTGATGGAAATTCACTTCAATTACGGTTTCTTAAATATATTGGCATCAGCAACGCAAAAGATTTAAATACGGAGAAGGCTAAAATAAGATATTCAGATTTCTTTCCTATATCAGACCCGAAAGTTTTAAAACAGAACATATCTGAAGTTGAAGTATCTGATGTACCTACACTATTAAATTACTTGTATACCTATAATACAAGAGCACCCCCAAACAATGTATTATCTTGTATTAATCTCATAGAAAGAGAAACATGTGCCAAAATTGATATCATGGCTCCTAAGGAAATTTTTAATATATTATTCGCTTATATGTATGTTATTCCGGCTTACACAACTCAACTGAAATTTTATGACCAAGCAATGAGAAGAATTAGTAATCAGCTCGATGATCTTAGTAAAGAGCATCTGGTGCAATACAGTTTTTATCTAGGCTTATCAAAACACAATAACCCTGAATACATGAATGTTATGAGAAACATTCTTCTCATTTTGTCAGATAAATATTTAAATAGCTTAACACAGGAAGAGCTTTGTATAGTTACCAATGCTGCTTTTAAAATGAGTGTTAAAATCAATACAATAGATTTATTAAATCATATAAGCGAAAACTTAATAGAAGGTTTAACACATAAGAAAATAGATGTTCCTTCTTTAATTACATTATTGAAATCTTTAAGAATATCGCGATATTTCAATAACGACTTACTTGAAATTATATCAAAATATGTAAACACTGAAATAAAAGATTTAAATGCAACTGCCATTTCGCATATATTGCCTTATTATGCAGATAATTACTATATGGATGAGCATTGTATTACACTTTAGTATCTCAATTTTTAGAAAAATTAACTGATGGTAAATCAGAAACACATATGTTTGAATCAAATAACATACGAGGAAAAGATCTAAGCAGGTTCTTATGGGCTTTGAGTTATCTGGGTTGGACTATGAATCCAAAAACTCTTGAAAATTTGGAGAATATTATACTAAATAAATTTAATTCTGGAGATTATAAAAATAATATAGATGAACTGTTCAATAACGCACTTTCATTCTGTATTTTGAATTATATTCCAAGGAGATTATTGCGAATTATTTTAGAAAGCAAATTTATTAAAACAAAATCCAATACAAGTCGATCAGAGGAAAGGAAACATTTATTATTCTCTATATTGAAAATTGAAAATGAAGAAATTTTTGAAGAACTACTAGAATTACAAGCTTACTGGAGTAGCTTCGAAAATAAACATACTGAACCACTAACCACTGGTCGACAAAATTTACAGAAAGTTTTAAATACTGCTTTGAATGTTGATGTTGGCCTTTCGGATGTAGTTCTGGATTGCCAAATAAAGTTTTTGAACACTCCAGGTATATCTGCAATTGCAAATAATGGCCGAAAAATTCACATTGAAGTTTTAGATGATGCTGTATGTCTTAAAAATACAAATTCAGAACCCAATGGCATAATGAAGCTTAAATTAAGATTATTACAAAAAATTTCTAATAATTCTGTTATAGTGGTAAGTTACTTTTTTGATATTATATTTGTAAATACATGTATATTGTTAAATATCAATAATTTAAATTATTATTACTTTCAGATAAAGCAGTCAGATATTGAAAATGAAGATACAGAATTCATACAACAATATTTGATTAAAGAAATATCCAAAGTTATATGAATGTAATTACAAAAATAATAGATATGTTTTAAATCAATTTTTTTCTTAATCTTTATGTAATTTTTATTAATATTAATTAAATGTAATTATTTCCATTAGATATTAATTAGATTAGTTAATGATCAATCACCAATACAAGGTATAATTTGCCCTAGAATTCTAACTAAAATAAGTGACTTTCTGTAACTTGTAAGGTTAATTTCAAATTTTAGTATTGACAAAAATTTCAATTATTTTTTTTAAATTGATAAGCCGTAATGATTTTGATAAAACATTCAATTAGTTCTTGATGAAAGTTGGTAGAATATAAATGAAATACAATAATTAAAAAAATAAAGATTTTAAAATTTCAAAATATTTTTTTTATATTTTCAATTATTTTCATAATTTTATATGTCTAATGTTTGTTCATAGAATAGGAAGTTCCATCAATTAACAGATTAAAATTGTTATATACATTATTATTATTTATTCTATCTACTTGAAATAACATTTTTCATACAAATATGTCAAGAATTATAAATATCGCGCTATACCATAATAATAAAAAAAAATATAAAAGATAGAAATGCTTCAAAGCCTTCCAATTATATTAAAATTGAATTTGCATGTCAATATGCACCATAATGGTAGTAAATATCACTTATAAAGAGCTTAAGAACTATATTACAACCTATTACTTAAAAGCGCATTCCTGGGTATCCAGGTCCACCAGGCGGCCGGCGCATACGTCGTCCACGGGGATTTCCTCGCATAAACGATCCTCGCTGTGGTTCCTGCATGCCCCTAACAGAAATTGGTTGCCCCATTTGTCTCGTCATCGGTGGTGTTTGTTGTTGAGGATTTTGTTGCTGTGGCTGTTGCATTGGAGGTGGTTGTTGTAGTATCTGTTGCTGTTGCTGCTGCTGTTGCTGTTGTCCTGCACAAATAGTTAAATATAAATTTTAATAATAAAAAACTCAAAATTAACAATTATCAAATATAGTTTAAATAATATAAGTAGAAAAAATACATTGTTATTACTTATTGCAAGTGTAAAATAATGAACTTATTACAAGTGTGAAATAATGTGCAATACTATGAACAATAAGGATTATTTTATAATTGCATATTATTGATTTAGTATCTTCGATTGATTTATTAACAATCAACCTTTTTAATATCTATTATTAAAAATACTATGACACCATAAATGAATTTAAAATCCATATGCATTATTTTATTTACTTGGACCATGAGCCTCATTCCAAATGATTGGAGTGTGCCTTTGTTGTCGAGAACTGGAACCACGAGAAAAACCTCTCATAGAGCGGCGTGCTGAACCGCGACCTCGAAATCGTACATTTGAACTTGAGCTTTGAGATGCTTCTGCTTCACGACCTTCTTCTTCCATCTGCAATGATAATTTATACATTTCTATCTTAGACTTCGAATAATAAATACATAGTTTAGACAACTTGTTAAGTTAAAAAATATATATTTTACCACTGTGCACATACTCATACCATGGATTAATAATGTTTTCATATGTTATATTACGATACAAAATTTTATATAGTCTAGAAAAAAATGGCATGCGGGCGCTGAAGACCCCAGGAGCGTTCCTGGTAATAATGTATATTGAATTATTACTAAAAAAAATGTAATTTAGATATTATAATTACTACAAATAGTTAAAATATGGTACAAGATTATAAAAATTATAGGCAACATTATTGTAGCAATAATTTGGGGGAAAAAATCCACGGTGATATTGTACTTTTACCGCGGACTATATATTAATTTTTTCTGAATTTGTTATATCTTTTTAAAAGACATTTTTAATTTCCAATATAGTTGTGGGAATTGAAACTCATCATTTTATTTAAAGCAGTTCTACATTTAGCATCGCTCATATTGACGTATATGCATTTTGGTGTGAAGAGTAATTTATAAAACAATAATTATTATTTTTATGTAAATGTTAAATATTAGTATAGGGGCCGTTCAAGTATTACGTAAGCACTATAGGGGGGGGGGGGGAATTATTGATTTGCTAATTTTTGTGACATTTTGGTGACAGATTTGCTTACTTTTGCTGACAAAGGGGGAGGGGGGGGGTAAATAATGGTACTAAATCTGCTTACGTAATTAAGCATATCTGCTTACGTAATTAAAAAATTATAGGCGTGGTTACAGGACAACGTCAGTCGGGTCATCTAGTATATATATATATATATATATATATATATATATATATATATATATTGTATGATTCTGAATTTGATGTTGACATATGTATTAACAAAGTTATATTATAGCCGAAACGTATGGATTTAAAATAAATTTTTGAAAGAAATTCATGTTTTTCATTGATGTTATGCCCGATTATTAGACTTTGTTAATATATATATATATATATATATATATATATATACATAAATTTATTTATTTATATGTATGATTTACTTCTATATTATCTGTCGCCGTTGCTTGCTGTTCGCCTTCTGATGAAACAGGGTCTGCTTCAACTTCCTTCATTTCGCCATCCAAAACATCATCTTCAACAATAATGCAATCCTCAGATGATTCGTCACTAATTTTAATTTCAGGTACATTATCTATAAATATTAATCAAAGTTTATATTATTTTATTACAAGAAAATTCTCATTTCCCATTTTAAAAAAAAAATGAAGTACCTTTTCTTGGTTCACTGGGTCCAGGTTGAATATCAGGAACCTCCAAAGAATCATCTGTATTTTGTGCCCGTGGACAAACTTGAAGAGTAGCACTTGGTACACTTTGACCTGCAGAAGAAAAATTTGTATAGTAATACTTAGTCATTGCTCCATACTGTGATGACAAATGAAGAAGTAGCTTCTAGGTACCTGCTTCATGAAATTGGGAGAGATCACATCTAGTATCATCAACAGCTTCTAAACCACTTTGTGAGAGAGGAGCGCCTGGAACTTGTCTGACACTAGCAGTATCACTGAATGTAAATCGCGCACTTGGTACATGGGGATGAGGCGAACTTACTGCTTCTCCAAATCTTAATGCAAGCAAAGAAAAATGAAACTTTATATTAAATTTACATAAAATTAAAATGAATTAACAACAAAAACTTAATTAACAGATAGTTTTCCACACATAAAGATCAAATTTCATAAACAAAAAAAATTGATTGTACTATGGAACCAGTAATCATTCTTAAAATTATCAATTTTACTAAATATTTGATTGCCTTTGTTAACCCAAAATAATCTATATTTAAACATATTTTAAGGTCCTACAGTAAGTAGCATCCTGCCTTAAAGCAAGTGGCATGAACTTCTTCATAATGCACTCAATAAGGTTCAGTAATTTAAGTAAAATGTTCAACTGTTATTTCGAAATTTTTCGGTTTCACCAAAAAAATAATACGATTTCCAATTGATATCTTTAAACGTACTTATAATATCTGTAATTGTATAAATTAAATAAATTTCTTTAATTTCAAAATAAAAGTTCCAAAAATTTATTTATTTGAAGTATGGACGTAAACTATAATCAGTAGTACCGACGAAACTCGCAATAAACATTACAGGGCGGCATAGATTATGATTAGTGAATTTCTACATTTCAATCGCTCATATCGTATTTCTATGATATTTTAGCATATTATTTCAAACTACGAAAATATCGTCATACAAATTTTTCATATAATTTTTTTTTTCAATACTTAATTGCGATGAAACGATTCTGCAGATCTTTACAAAAACTAACCATTTAACATAACGAATGTAATTCAATCAGTTTTGCTGTTTCTATAGTTTCTGGGCTAAAACGTAGACGAAAATTTGACAACTTTCTGCTAATTACAAAGAAACGGTACTTCTTATGGAGTTACATCGAATGGCTTTTATTAACTTCCCATAGGGTAAGTAATTATAATCGTCCAAAAATCAAAATTGAATTTTTTTACATTTCTTCACGTTTTGAAGGTTTCTGAACATTTTGACATACCTTAAAAAAAAATGGTTTCGTCCACGTTTTAGGGCGCACGGATCAACCGATTTGAATGGTTCAAAAACATTCTATTCCTATTGATAGGGACATGTGCTGATTAGTTTTTGGTAAAGACAGGTCCAGCCGTTTCGGAGATACGGAGCAGAGTGCAGAAAATGGAAATCGAGTTTTTGAGAGAACGGAGCATCCAATTTGAATGGTCCAAAAAACGTTCAATTTGTAATGTCGAGGAGAAACGGTGATTAGTTTTTGCAAAGGCAGGTCCAGCCGTTTCGGAGATACCGAGCTAAAGGTGCAAAAGATGGCAGTTTTTGAGAAAGTTACAGTATTTATAATTTGAAAACATTTAATATTCCTGGAAAATTTCGTTACGGTACGGAAAGTTCCAGCAATTTGCCTTAAGGCACGATGCTATACACAATAGTTAAATTTCTCAAATCGGTCCAGCCATTTTTGGGAAACCGTAGATGACAAACAAAATTCGGCACATGCACTCACACACACATACTTTTTCCAAATTTGGATTCATTCGATTCAAAATGATTTCAAACGACGAGAAAACATAAAATTAAATAATCGGATTTTTTCGCGAGAACAAACTAATATCTATTTGTTTAATCTCAATTTTACCGTCCAATAATGACGTCATAAGTCTAATGTTAATTGTTTATATCTGAATTTTCAGAAAATAATGTCCATATGTGAATACATAGAAATAGAAATAATCATGAATTATCAAAAATAAATCACAACTACGGATTTGAATTGTAAATTTAATACTATTAAATTACAATTTCATATGTTCAACAATTGAAAGATGTTTCATAAACATCATATTAATACAATATAATTATTTAACAATAAATATCTTACCCATCATTTCTTCTAGGTACATATAAGGTAGGTGTGCTTGGGACTATACCGTCATCACCAGACTCTTCATACCCTGGTGTTAAATGATGCGTGTGGTGTGGCAAAATTAAAGCTTGTGCTTGACCAGAACGTACCAACGGCGCAACACAACGG